GACATTCGTGAGCTGTAAATCTTCCTTTCATCTCCCAACTCATATTCAATTTCCATTCTCTAGAGTCTAGAGCATTTCAAAGTCTTCTATTAGATTCGATTGATTTTCATTTAATTTTCATAGCTGCTATCGTTCTGCGAAACTCATTTTCAGGCCGATTTCTGCTGACGCCTTTTAGGCCACCATCACCACCACCACCACCACCACCACCATCATCATCATCATCATATTCTTTACTGGGCCCCCGGTAATTGTTTCTCATCTCTTGGCGATCCAATCTATTTTTTTGGCCAATTTTAGCACGCCCTGGTGCCTGCTGCTGGCGATCGTCATCACCTGGATGTGGAGCCCACAGAGAGACAGCAGAGGAGCAAAGAACCAAAGCACCGCCCTCTGCTTAGAATCAGTCCATCAGCCAGAAATGCGCGTCATCGGCGCACGTCAGTCGAACGGATTGTGGGGGTCTGGTACTGGGGTGTGGTGTGTGGGAGATGCTGGTACTATTTTTAGGCATGAGACGGGCCGCAAAAGTATTTTGGTCATGAGTTCAAAAACAAGCAGAAAGACGGACCAACGGGACCAACGGACTGACAGCCGGACAGTTTTATTTTTCCAACAAATTATTTATACGCAAAATAAAATTTGCACGGAATGAGAAGTGTTATTTATAGGCCTGGACTGCGAGAGACGACCTTGTTGGCCAAGATCTTTCTTTGGAGCACGCCGCGAAAGCGTCCTTCACCCTCAATCCAATAAATGCCACAGAGCAACGCCAGAAATATTCCGAAATCATATAGCAAATAAATCAATCTCCTGTCAAACAGAATCAAGTACATAAACTATAAAAATTGTAAATACTCTGAAGGTCGCAGAAAAGTTACATATAGCAATTGTAATTGAAAATAACGAAAATCACTCAATTCTAGAGCTGCCTACTCGATGATATTTTTAAAATATAATTTCGGATGCATCATCGCTTTTAAATATACATTTTGATTGAGTTTTCGTAAATATTTTGAAGATCTCCGCCCTAGAAAAACAATTTTCCCATTTCCCAGATGGGAAAGAGCAGGGGGAAATAATCTCTTCGATCATTTATTCACGAAGGCAGTCTTAAATATAGATTTTAAGGTCCATTTTCTACCGCCATGCCTGCCACGCGCCCATCACAGTGGTCAGTCGTTTGCCGTTTGAGCCAATTTTTTGTTAATCTAGGACAACTTTTTGTTTGCCCTGTCCCCTGCCCCTGCCCGCTGCTGTCCTGGTCAACCTCAAAGGACCTTACCCTACACAAAAAAGAAGCGATCAGATAATGGAAATGGCATAGAAAAACGCGACTGCCACGCGAACCTCGAAAGAAAGATGCAAATCTGTTGGCCAAGCGGACAAAAAACAATTGTAACAAAAAATTAGAGCAGACCAAAAATTAGATGTGTTGTGTGTTGGCCGTTCCAGGATCTAGAAATTCTGGAAAAAATACCGAGCCAAGAGAGATGAAAAATCATTCGCGGAATCGAGAGCCAGAGCCCAGAGCCAGCCAGCGGGTCACTTGGCCTTGTTTTTTGCCCGGAATTTGCGTAAATGGGCCTGGCCAGCATTTCCAGAGGTCTCCGTCTCTCGCTCTCGCTCTCAATGTCCTGAATTTTTTAACAACATGCCATAAACAAATGTGCGCAGATTTTTTCAGGACTGCAGTACCACAGGACCCTCCCAAGCCATAGCATGGAAGAAGAGGAGATGGAATGTAGTTCAGTGGCCGTTTTTATGGTCAAACTAGATCTAGGTCTTTCGGTCCCTCTGCTGCCCTGATCCTTGGTTTTATGACCCCTCCTGCTGCTGCTGCTGCCGCTGCGTGCTCGAAACTATTGCATAACATTGCGTTGTGACTGCGTTGGATGAGGTCATGAGTCCTCCCTCCTTACGCAAAACTGTGCGGCAATGAAGCGATGCTCTCATTATGTCATAAGCGAGCTAGAACAATGGCCCGTGGCTCTGGCGGGCGGAAGATGAGGAGGCCGGCCTCCTCGATCGAAGGATCAGAAGGTACGAGGATCGTAAACACGTTTGCGAGATGGCGTGCGGCAGTTTAGGTAAACTCAATGCATTCAACACCTCGTCCCCGTCAGAGTGCTTGCTTCCTGTTCGCAGGATCAGGTTATCTCTCATGAATAAATTCGAAAATTCGTAGGTGAATAAATTCACACTCTTCACACATCTAACGGTACATCAGACATCCGCTCCAGGCACAGAGACAGAGAGATTTTTAATTGCCGTGAGGATTCATTAGCATCGTCTATCGTCAAGACAGGTAGCGGTAGCCATCCAGCCATCATCCCCTAACAATTATTTCCCGCACTCTTTTTGTCCCTTTCGAAATCCCTTCTTATCAAGATCGCCTTTGGGTTACGCCCACACTCGGATGTGGCATACAGAAACTGCCGAAAGCAAACCTCCAGAGTATCCAGCAGGGAAAATCATTTTGTTAGCATCTAGTTTGCGGTATGTTCTCTGATGGTGCACCGACTGTGAGGTGAGGCAACCAGCAAGGGGGCCAGCGCAGAAGGATCGATCCCTACACGTGTTACAAGAACCCACACTGGCGGCAGACCATGCCAGTGCAGATGACGCCGCGGCGTCCATGCCGTCCCCTCCCCCTCATCCTTCTCCTACTGCAGCAACATGTCGGCACAAACGGTGACGATTAAAGCCAAAAGCCCTGCCTGCTGCCTGCTGCTTGCTGCTGCCGCCTGCCAGAGGCCCCAGAACAAAACGTTAAAGCAAAATCAATACCAAAGGCAGTCGTAAAAGAAAAACAACAAAAAACGAACAGTACGAACGAAAACAGAACAGAAACAGAAGAGCAACAACAACAGCAACAGAACCCACCATGGATCCTTTATGGCCTGGCACTGCAGATTGAGCAGCCCAGATTTCAAAGGCGAGCGCGTGATCGCCATCAAAATGCTCGGTGGAGGCAATTTAAATTGCTGAACTCAACCGAACCGAACGGCGGCGGTGGCGGCGCGTGCAGTTCCAGCAATCCGCGAGTCGAGAGTTGAGAGTCGGGGTCCCGTCCCCAGGTAGAGACACGATCCAGAACCTGCTGCTGCCGTTCCTGCTGCTGCTAACGATAAGATCCGATCCGTCCCCAACCTGAAGAGGAAGAACCAGAGAAGAGACCAAGAGAGAGAGATGGCCTCCTCGCGTGCTCGGGTGTTGAAACATCTTTTCTTTTGGACTCTTCGTCTGTCTTTCTGTCTGTCTGTCTGTCCGTCGGTCTGTTTATTTATACCAGCAGCCTTGACACTGACGAGATCCATCGTGGGGCCAGTCGCCAGTCAAGGTTATGGTCTAGGCAGCAGCTCCAGCAGATCCCCGCAGCCAGCGCAACTTTGTTTGGTGTTAATTTATGCCTGAACTCTTTGCCTTCTCTTAACGAAAATTGCTGCGGGTAATTTTTAGCAGGAGGTTCAGGATTCTATCCACAGCACTTGATGGAGCAGCCACCAGACAATGTAACACACAAATGGTTCGTCCTGGGAGAGCCCATTAAAAATTAAATACCTAAAACGATTATTAAACCATTTTCTTCCATTATAGTCTAAGGGTGGATAAATATCCTTAATACTCCATCAATTACATAAATAATACCTTAACTTTTATTTAATAATTATGACACTTTTAGCAACAAGAAATCATAATTTGAATAGCGCGCGCTCACTTAACAGACAGAATTGCAAGCAGTGCATTTAATTTAACATAGCACTGTAATGGCAGCACATTTTCCATAACATAGCTCTGTAATCGGTTAGTTCCAGCAAACGGAAGTAGGCGCGCCACTGTAGCACCCATGTAGAATGCGTGTAGTAAAAGTGTAGCATGTGCAGAAATGGCAGAAATAGAGGCTTATCCGCCCATATAAGCTTTATTTAGGAATCAATTATATAATTTGAATATCGTTGGCTTCCCATTCATGTTCTGCATCCATTTATGGGTTAATTCTGACATCTTTGTAAGTGTTAGGAAAGCTTTATTAAATTGGTTCCATCTTAACATCGGGATACTTGCATTAATACGTACAAAAACCAATGAAATTGGTTTATATAATAATATTAACCTTCTGAGTGTTTGTTGTTTTTGTAGCTTAAGCATCCCATTCCATTATTTTGGAACTTTTTTGTAGATTTAAAAGAGTCCCAAAGTAAACTCCCGCTCCTTCTTAGTACGAAATCTTGATTTTTATCAACACAAACAAGGCATTAATATCAATTTTGTGTATCAGTTGGGCTTTGGCAGAGGATAAGGCTGAGATAATTGCAGATCAACAGCAGCTGCTGCTCCAAGCGTTTGGCCGTTTGGCCGCTGCTGGTGATGCTGCCTGTCCAAAGAAATCAACGCCAATTGGCATCAAAGCAAATATTTGCCCCAAGTGGCAATTGAAGCTCAGTCTCAAGCCTCAGGTCTGGGGCCTAATGACAGGATCAAGATCAGGAAGGGGCAACGGCAACGGCAACGGCAACGGCTGCTGTCTCTTCACACTCTCGGTGATGGGAGCCAAAAAGGTGCGAGAGCTGGCACACCTTTCTGGGCCACAGCTTGTTGACTGTGTCAATTCTGGGAATGTGCCGTCAGAGGGTTCCAGGCAATAAAACGTTGCACCAAATTAGCGCTTTATTGCGTGTTTGTTTGGTCAGAAACAGAACCGAACCGAACCGAACCCAAGCCAACCGGAAAGGGCCCCAATCCTCGTCAGCGTCTGCTGATTGTTTGGCACCTCCTAAGCCCCAGTGTCAGTCTGGGTCCCAGTGCCAGTCCCAGTGCCAGTGCCGTTAAGTTCTTGTTAAGGCCCCAAATCCGTGTGTAAAATTATAGCCGACGGGGCATGAAATTTACTGGAACAACAGGCAGCCCCAGCCATAATTCATATAATCCACAAAATCCATATAATATATGGTAAGCTTTTATTGACATTGAAGCGGAAGCAGCAGAAGCAGCAGCCGCAGCAGCACCTGCATTCGGTTTATCACACAACTATTTACACATCATTTTGATCCACTTGATCCTCGAATCCTTCGGGGATCGAGTCTGTCTTCTTCTCCTGTCTTTGGTTCCTTAGAGGCTGTTCATAGCTGGGCTATCTATCGTCTTGCGGTGGTGCACCTTTCTTGTAGGCCTGGCTATTATCACATATCGTATCGATCATTCGTCCAGTTCCTCTCTGGAGGATCGTTCGCCTAGGCAGCTCCATCCTGGATGAGGCATTTGGGGGTGTAAACATTGGCCAGAGAGTCCCAGCCACAGTCCGCCAACTGGTGGGCCCGATGCGGATTCCAGTCAAGGCCGCAAACGAATTCCGTATGCTGTTCGTTGATCTCCTGAGGGGATTCGCCACGTTCCAGGTTCCAAATTCTGTGGAGCACAAGCAGATCCCTTTAGTGGGCTTCGCCCTTTAGCCGAACCGAATCGATTCTCACTTACCGCGTGGTAAAATCATAATTAGCCGATGCCAAAACCGCAGAGGAGTGCGGGGAGCAGGCCAAGCGGCGGACGGCAAACTCTCCGGAGTACAGCTCAAAGACGTGGGTCCGCATCTTGCGCAGATCCCAGCCTCGGATGAGGCCGTCTGATCCACCGGTCACCAGGATGTTCCGATCGAAGTGGCTCCAGTCGCAGGCGAGGGCTTCGCTGGCATGCGCTTCGATGCTCATCAGGGGTTTACCTGCAAAATCGAGAGAATTCCATAAGTTCAACTGGCCGTCGGTACTCACGCTTGCAAAGAGATTGGCGATCAGTGGCGAAAACTTTGCGCAGTAGATCAAGTCACTGTGCCCCACAAAGGTCGTGATGGAGTGCTGTCTGTTGCAGTCCCACAGCTTCAGAGTGCGGTCCCAGCTGGCGGAGAGGAGCGTGTGGTAGTTCCACTGCTCGCCCCAGTCCAGGCTGTAGATCTCGTTCTTGTGCTCCTGCAGACAGATCAGCGGCTGCTTGGGCGTCTCCTGTCCCGCCGCCGCCTCGGCATCCAGCCCGGACCAAATCTGCAGCGAGCCGTCGCCCGAGGCGGTGGCTGCCACATCGGCGGCATAGGGACACCAGGCCACGTCGAACAGACCATCCGACCACTCCAGACGGCACAGTTCACTCAGGTTGGGGCTCTGCCCGTCCGCAGTGGCATTTTGGCTGAGCAGAAAAAGGGAACCTCCACCGGCCAGACCGTACAATTGGCTGCCAGATCAAGGGCAAGGGCAAAGGCAATTCAAATAAAGGGTTAGTTGTGGGCTGGTGGGGATATTGGGTGCGAGACTCACCTTGTAGCTAGCAGCAAATAGTTGGCCTCGAAAGGCGAGAAGCGCAGGCTATAGCCATGTCGATCGGCTGTGGTGTGTGTCTTTGATTGCATTTTCAGCTGCAAATAAAACAAAAATAAAATTAAATTTTTATCGGGAATACCTTTAGGTATTGTATGCATGTACATAAACTCTTAGGAACTAAACACATTCGTTTCTGTAGTTGCTGTAGCTGTATTTCTCGTGGACTTTGGTCGATTGCAGGCGGCTGCGCATGCGTGTCCTGCTTACACTACAAATGTGTATATGTATGTTTGTTTATATGTTTGCATGTGTGTATGTTACACTCCCACACACACCACCACAACAACAACAACAACAATAAGGAAGGCACCCATTGCGTTTTGCCTATTTGCAGAATTCTTTTCTTGATTTTTGTGGTCCATTTGTGTTGTTATTGTGCGACAGATTCGAAGCGAAGATCAAATCTGGGGAAGGTGCGGGGCTTGGCTGTGCTTGATTTGTTTCTATTTCTTTTTGTCACACCCCCCACAGCAACTGCAACAATATTCAGAATTAAGAGGCCACTTATTGCCTTTTTTTTTGCTTATTTGCAGACGGTTTTTGTTTCCCTTTGTGTGGTTATTGTGAGGACAGAGACAGGGAACGCCATGGAAGATAAAAACGAGAGCAAAACGCATTGGACAAAGTGCTGAGGGCTATTTGCCAGCTAGGAAGCACTGGGGAGGGGAATCAATACATCAATATACGTACTCGCATTTGGTTTGATCCGACTGGAAAGCGGCGGCCTACTTGTAGGGCTTCGACGCGCGTGGCCTGGCCTCTGCGAAGTTCTTTTGGGTGGAATGGCAGCGCGGCCTGCTAATCCTTTGTGGGAACACGGTTTATGCAACAGTTGGGCGCGCGACCTCGCACGAGGTCGGAACAGAACGACTTGACATTAGCCAATTTGGTCAAGCGAATGGGGGAGCAGTGGAAAAGCGGAAAATGCGAGAACTGACATGTTTGCAGTTTTCCTTTTGGGCCGTCGGACCCGGACCCGGACCCGGACCCGCACCCGCACCCGGGACTGCATAACGCCCAAATCCAGTTAGTGGCCGCAAGCAGAAGAGCCCCTCGGACAGGGCAAAGGTATATAAGCAGGTCGTACGGCTCTGGGGTTTCGCATTTTCCTCCGGCAAACGGAAAACTCAGGAGCTTCCAGTCGCAGTCTATCAGGGAAAGGGAAACAGGAAAAAGAAACCCCAGCTATGGTTGTCTCCGTAAAGGTCTTCAAGAAGGCCACACCCAACGGCAAGGTGACATTCTATTTGGGCCGTCGCGACTTCATCGATCACTTGGACTACTGCGACCCCGTCGACGGGGTGATTGTGGTGGAGCCGGACTACCTGAAGAACCGCAAAGTGTTTGGCCAGCTGGCCACCACCTATCGCTATGGCCGCGAGGAGGATGAGGTCATGGGCGTCAAGTTCTCGAAGGAGCTGATCCTGTCCAGGGAGCAGATTGTGCCCATGACCAATCCCAACATGGAGATGACGCCGATGCAGGAGAAGCTGGTGCGAAAGTTGGGCAGCAATGCCCATCCGTTCACCTTCCACTTCCCACCCAACTCGCCCAGCTCGGTGACGCTGCAGCAGGAGGGGGACGACAACGGCAAGCCGCTGGGCGTGGAGTACACCATTCGGGCGTTTGTCGGCGACTCCGAGGACGATCGTCAGCACAAGCGGAGCATGGTCAGCCTGGTGATCAAGAAGCTGCAGTACGCTCCCCTGAACCGCGGCCAGCGGCTGCCCAGCTCGCTGGTCAGCAAGGGATTCACCTTCTCGAACGGCAAGATCAGTCTGGAGGTAACGCTCGACAGGGAGATCTACTACCACGGGGAGAAGACAGCCGCCACGGTGCAGGTGTCGAACAACTCGAAGAAATCGGTGAAGAGCATCAAGTGCTTCATTGTGCAGCACACGGAGATCACGATGGTGAATGCGCAGTTCAGCAAGCATGTGGCCCAGCTGGAGACCAAGGAGGGCTGCCCCATCACACCGGGGGCCAACCTCACCAAGACCTTCTACCTCATTCCGCTGGCAGCCAACAACAAGGATCGTCACGGTAGGCAAAGCCTCACCCACTCACCCACTCCCCCAGCAGAGCTTTGTGGCACTCTCTCACTGTTCACTGTTCACTGTTCCCTGCTCCCATAGGCATTGCCCTGGACGGTCATCTGAAGGACGAGGACGTCAATCTGGCCTCCTCCACCATGGTCCAGGACGGCAAAAACACTGGCGATGCCTGCGGTATTGTCATCTCCTATTCGGTGCGCATCAAGTTGAACTGCGGCACCCTCGGCGGTGAGATGCAGACGGATGTGCCCTTCAAGCTGCTGCAGCCGGCACCGGGTAAGCCTCCCCTGCCCTGGAAGGGCAGAGAGTCCCTCCCCCCCACTAACTGTGTGTGTTTGTCTCTCGCTCAGGCACCATTGAGAAGAAACGCTCGAATGCCATGAAGAAGATGAAGTCGATTGAGCAGCATCGCAATGTCAAGGGCTACTACCAGGACGACGATGATAATATTGTCTTTGAGGACTTTGCCAAGATGCGGATGAACAATGTGAATATGGCCGATTAGAAGCGATCCTCTGGTATATATATATCTCTACATATGTTTTGTTGTGAAAAACTGCGTCTCGAAAGCACTGAAAACTTGTTGCAGCAGCCGAGGGTCTCTCACTGGCCACAGAATCTTTGTATTATAATCGTCTAATACTCTCTCTCTATATATAGGAAAACTTTGGTGGATCTAGAGTTTGTATCCATAACCTACCCGGTGGGACCACGTGTCCTTGCCTATATTTATAAATTATAAATGTGCTATGGTTATATCCTAGAGGACTCACCTTCGTGTGTCTGTGTATCTATCGCCGTGTATCTCTGTGAATATCCAATTTGCGTTGGTAATCCGCAGTCGGTTGTGGTTGGGTTTTTGGTTGGTTTGCTTGGGTGCTTCGGCAGATGCTTAGGCGTTCAACTTCAGAAGTCGAATGATGGACAGAGCTGCGTGTCAGAAGCAGGAAGGTTCTCTAGCCTCTAGCCTCTAGCTTCTAGGTCTCTGCTCTAAGGGTGGCTCTGCTGATGACAGTAGGGGGTTGCAAAAGAAGGCGCCCGTCTGCTGCCTATAGGTCAGCCCCTTTCCACCCTTCGAGCCCCTGCGAGCCCCTGTGAGCCAGCAACAGGCTTTTCCTCTGAGGAGCAACAGCCAATCGGAAGGCAGAGATACCGGCTATGGCAGATCCGCCAAGGAAGTTCCGTTCGAACAATGGAAGGCGTCGAAAGCTGCTGCATATGCTAAATAGTTGTAGTTCTGAACTTGCCCTGACCTTGGAACCGAAACGACAGCAGCTGCCCGCAGTTCTAGCGCCGCCTCATCATCCCGGGCTAAGAGTTGTATAAGCCACAGGCATAACACAGCAGCTGGCTGCTGGCCCCTGCCCCCCTAGCTGCACGCTCCATTCGAGCGCATTGCACAACCAGAGCTGGGGCTGGGGCTGTGGCTGGGGGCAGCATCGATCGATTTCACACACCGCTGACTCCTGGCCGCCCGACTTCCGGCCCAGAGAGTGTGTGTGTGGTGTGGCCCAGAGCCAAGCCCCGAATAGGGCCAACTATAAATGCCAATGCTGTCGTCAGAAATGTTGCCACAAATTTGACGAGAGTGCAACGCGATGGAGCTGCCCCGAAACACTTGGAATGCCGCCTTTGCTCTGACTCAGCGGATCCTGCTGCTGCTGCTGCTCCTGCCCGGCTTTAGCTCCGCTCAGATGCAGCCACTTCATCCGTACTACCATCATCATCCCAGATCGCAGCTGTACTACGAGGCGCCACGCCTGAGGCGCTACGAGTATGCCCCCAGCTCCTATATCTGGCTATCCATTGGCTACCTCGGTCGCTCCCGCTCTCGCGGGCCACTACCAGCAGCAGCCGCCGAACTTCCAGCTGATCAACTATCGTCCCAGCTACCAGCCCCTGGCCCTGGAGTACCAGCAGCAGCAGCCCCCCCTGCCAGTTCCTGCTCCGGCTCTGCCCTCCCTCTATCCGCAGCCGAGCGTCCAGTACCAGCAGCGATCGATTGCCCCGCACATGGAGCTGGCCAAGTACCGCTACGAGGGGAATTACCTGCCGGTCCAGAGGGTGGCAGGACCAGTTGCAGCAGGACCATCTCTCCAGCAACATGAACAGCAGCTGCGTCGCGTGGAGGAGCCTTACAACGTGCCACCGGCTCTGTTTACCAGCGATGTGCTGCACGTGATTCCGCCAAGGATAGCCCGGCTGCAGGAGCAACAGCAACAGCAGCCGCAGCAGCAGCAGCAGCAGCAGCAGCCACAGACTGAACGTTCCCGACGCAATGCACAGGAGGACGGATCACAGGCGGATGCAGAGGCAGCAGAGACTAAAAGTCAGCAAAAGGAGGCGCCACCAATCAAGGAAACCAAATATTTTCAGTAAGATATTGGCCCTGTCCAAGAGATTGAAAGTCACTTCTTGAGGGTTCACTTTGCTAAACTTGAACCCAGAAATCCGTTTAAAAATCAATCAAAATTACTTTTGCCTGCTCTTCCAAGCTTCTTCCAAGAGTTTCCGTCAAGCAATCTCTGATATCCTAATCCGTAATCCCTGCCTTCGTTTAGTGACATTTTCATGCGTTTCGATGGACCCCATTCGCGCTCCCACGGACATGTCCTGAAGCAGCCCAAGGCCGAGGAGCGACGCTTTGAGATGCAGCGCGGCACCAATCGCTACAAGGGGGAGGTACGAAATGGAAATCCTCCTTGGCCCTAAGTTTGCACGCTTATTCGCAGGACTTTCTCTCTGTTTAGGTGATTTGGACAGATCGTCAGGGCAGCCATGGCGAGCACCGCTGGGACATGGCTCAGGGAAAACTCTGAGAGCCACAAAGCATCCTGATCTCTCTCTCTCTCTCTCTCCCCTCTCATTTGCATATTCCCCTGCCACCACCCTCTCCAGCCCCTGCCCGCTCACTGTACATACCCATAATCATATATAAAGATCGTGACTTTTCATAATTCCCGTGTATTATTTATTTAAAGGCAATGATTTGGCGTGAAATTCGAAAGGAAATGCTGCCCAAAAGATTTGCATAGGAAAGTGGAGTGGAGTGGCATGCCACTCATTCCCATTCTCCTTTTCATCCTTCCTTGTCTAAGGTCAGTGTCTGGGGGAGGGGAGGGGGGGTATCTTCTTCGGAGATTTTCTCACGCCTGGACGAGTGATTGTCCGAACCGGTTACGCAGCTTTAAGAGAGAGAGAAAAGGTCAATCATGTCCGGGAACGGGCAGGCGGCTATCCGTTAGTTGGAAACTGGTTCTAGTCAGTGACCCTGTCTAGAATGTCCTGCAGTCAGTCACTTACATAGTTACAGGACCAGAGACAGCCAGACAGACAGACAGCCAGACAGTCCATCGTTTGCCATGCGGGTCGACCGGAGATATGTAAATGCAAAGCCCAAGGATCGTAGGAACGAAGGGGTTGCAAGATGCAGACGCGGATCTTGTAAGTCGGGTGACCCTAAGGGAGGGGTTGCATTGTGCCACTGGGCCACTGGGCCACTCATTTGCATATGTATCTTCGATTCTTCGGCCTCCTCAACGAATGACACGCACAAACAAATGCCTGGGCCTGGGCCTGGGCCGAGGCCGCGGCCGAGCGGCGGGTCTAGTGTCCAGTGGGTTGATTCACAGCTGACCAGAGAACAGGACATCAAGCCTTTGGGCATGCAGTGCCAAGTCCCAGATCCTGTCAAGATCAATACGGAGTCCGCTGCATATGTAAATTGGTGGCAAGCCAAGCCGTTTGGGCCTGCCCTATGCGGGTCATTAGAGAGGCGAAACGATCGTTCCAGCCCGCGACTGACTGTCCAGAACCGGTTCGTAATCGTCTACATGGGCGATAAGGTCATCCTTTACCCTTTCCCTCTCTCTGTCTCTGCCTCTGCCGCTGTCGTTGTCTCTGCCGCTGTCTCTGTTGGTTCTCACACGCTTTTCCTTAAGTTATGCAAGGACATTGCAAAAGGACACTGTCTGAGGCGATTGCGATTGCTCTCTGTGGATGGTTCCCAAGTGCCAACCGGTCTGACCGGTCCGGTCCGAGCCGAGCCGAGCCGTGTCTTCGGCTGAGGTGACCACGAACCATCCGGAGGCTTCTTCTTGTGAGAACTTCCACATTAGATGGCTGGCTGGCCTTTGTCAGCGACTGCGACTGCGACTGCCCAAACGGGTTCCCGTCCTCCTTGGCCGCTGTCCTTGCCCTTGGCCTGCAGTGCGGCTGAGTGTCACTGGGATGTTGAGATCTCTTTGCTCTTTGCCAATTGCTGTAGGGGTTAGGACCCATTGATTTATGCGCAAATAAATTTGTTTACCTTTGTGAAGATATCTTCGGTGTGACCTCAATCACAGCAATCACAGGAGCAGTTGTCCAGGAGTGGGGGTTGGGGAATGGATTGGCTGGATTGAGAATAGGTCAGATGATACGTAGAGCAGGGCGTAGGAGAGGTAACAGATGATCTGGGAGGTTCGGGAGCCTTGCATTGCCATTGCATTGCCCCTCTCTTGCGTGTGTTGTATATGTGTGTGTGTGTGTGTGTGTGGGGTGATTGGGCTCGAAAAATAAACTTAGCAAAGAGATAGATAAGGCTCCTTGTCTGTCACTCTCTGTCACTCTCTGTCCCCTCTCTGTCAGCACCTTTGCAGACAACTTTTTTTGGTTTTTGGCTCCCCTTAGGTTGTTACTTCGCGACAGATTTGAAGCGAAGAGAAAAGATGCACTATAAATGATCGATCAGCTGTTCAGCTTGACTTCGGTTCACTCTCTTTTCTGTGAGATATTTGCATAAAATTATCGCAGATGAAATACTTTAATTATTTTCAAGCTTTGCCTAGAACCATCTCCCATCGAAACGCCTTCCAAATTATTTATTTCTATTGGTTTTTTTTTTGTTTTTGGAAATTTTTCTTTAATTTAATATTCTAAACATGAAAGTGGAACCCTAATGAATGACATACGATATACGATAATGTTATGATCTCTGCCGATATCGACATAATTACAAACTACATGGACTTGCGGAACTTTCAAGAGAACTTTCAGACAAAGAGAGAGAGAGAGACCTCTCAGACCTGGGACTCCCCTCTCTCTCTCCCTCTCTCTCGCTCTACTGGTACTGATGGTACTGCGGCTGCGGCTGCTGCTGCTGCTGCTGCTGGTACTGCTGCTTGCCGGGGCTGTGGCTGTGGCTGTGGCTGGGGCTGTACTCCTGCTGCCCCTTGTGGCCGCCCGAACGGAGCAGCTGTGTGGCAGGCGGCTGTGTGGGGATCTTCACCACAATGTCGGTGGGCTCGCGTATGACCTCGGCCTTGAAGCCCTCCTTGGGATCCGCCGTGTACTTGACGGTGCGAACGAAGCCATCGCTGTCCACCACCGAGTAGCTGCCCTTGATCACGCCCCCGTCGCGCACCTCCTTGCGGTTCTGGTAGTTGGTGAATTCGTCGTCCTTCACATCGAATCCGAACTGGTACGAGGAGTTCTGCTGCAAAGAGGTAATCAACGGAATTCGGATTTCAAATGCGTGTGCGACCCACTTTCGTGTCTGCCGCCCCCTTCTCCTTGCCCCCAGACGGAGCGGAGGCGATTACATCATTCAACACACGAACAGGCGCATGCGTGTGGGCGCCCACTTGTTCCCCAACTGCATCTACAACCCCCGAACGGAGTCCGAGTACCCGACACACGCACAAGTGAAAGTGAATTTTGTTGTGGGGCCGCTTGCATATTTTAATGGCCCACAAGGCGCACGATATCAAAGCGCAAACTGCAGCAATGGATAGGATCGGATCGAATCGGATCGGATTGATCGTGTGGTGTGGTTATGCAACCTCTCCCTCTCTCTGTCACACTCTCTGGCAATCCATAAACTCCATTCAGGCGTTGGATAATTTATGCACAAGGTTGGAGTCTCTTGCACTTTGGTGAGACGATGAGAGGCCTTCCAGCGGCTCCACGGACAATCGGAACATCGCGTATCCCCCGAACTGGGTTAAGGTAACCGCCAGAAGCATGACTCCAAGGCGTGGCCCAATCTGCCATCTTTGGCTTGTTCTTTGGCCCAAAAAACAAAGAAGCAGAACGGAAAAAAACTCTGCAAATTGGAAAGGCAAAAGCCAGCCGCCAGCCGCCAGCAGCCGGCGAAGTGGCTCCTAAAGCCGGTTCTAGTGCGTGCACTGGCCATTTGCACGGAGTCGGTATGGTATGGGAATTGGGTCTTAGACGGCGACTGGCACTGCAACTGCAACTGCAGCTGGAAGTGGACGTGGAAGTGGAAGTGACTTGCTTGGGTGTATATGGGTCGAATGGCTTGAAAGTGATTGTATGGCGGAGAATGTAGCGCGTAGCTGCAGCATTTAATGGCAACCTGAAAGCAGTAACAAGTCTGCAATAATTTGGGCCATAAAAATGCTAATGCTAATGCCTAGAAGTGGTTCAGGTCTTAAAGTGTGGCCCATAAAACGTGATTAATGCTACCACGAGTACTTTTATCATAGCTGGATGCTTGGATGCAGTTCTTTTGGACTGCGAATCGATGGAAAATCTCTTATATTTTATCGGACATTCAGCATTATTGGATATGGAATAAGTGAATTAAATTCTGCATCCATCTGTTCTCAATGGAGATATCCTGTAGGTTCTACTAACTTTCTACCTTCTAAATCCTAAATTCCCTTTATTATTTAATCTCTCTCAAAAGAGATTCTCTTCTCTCCTGTAATCCCGCATATATTTCCCTCCCTTTGATGCCCAAAAGTCTCCATAATCCATAGTCCCCAATCATTTGTCATTATCTTTCCGCTAACACACAAGTTCAATAAGTTTTCATGCCAGAGCGAGAGAGAGCAGCACTTTGACCCCATCTGCTTGGCTCAAACTCTGATGGATTATGGCTAATGTGGTAACGGATATGCAGCAGCTTCCGCATGAGCTGGCCATAAGTAAACGGCTGCTGCTGCCGCTGCTGGCCAAGAGAGTAAACGGAGCTAACGGTTAACGGCCAGGCCAATGAACATGCAGCAGACACACACACAGCACATAGGTGGCCGTGGCCAAAACCACAGCTGCTGCTGCCACTGCTGCTGCTGCCACTGGAGGAGGCTGTGGTTAATGAACCCCAAGCCAACGACTGACACCCCCTGCCCTACTCCCCGCCGTCGTTGCATGCCTCAATTGTAATTATGCTGCCGCCGCTGCTGCTGCTGCTGCGGCACTCAAGCGAAAAGGAAAGTGCGCGAACATCGAACTCGAACTCGAATTCGAGTTCGAACTCGTTATGGGTTTCGGACTCCAAACTTACATCATCGTACTCCTCCTCCTCCTGCTGCTGCTGCTGCTGCTGCTGCTGCTGGAGCGAGAGCTTTTGCTGTCCTTTGCCCAGGAGCGAGGGTGCCTGATAGGCGGGCTGCTGGACACGGCGTGGCGGTGGTGCCGGAGCCGCCTGCACCTGCTGGCGGTACACGGACTGTGGCTGCTGCTGCGATTGGTACTGCAAAGGGGCAGTAGGGGATACCATGGTGATACTCGTGGGAGGGGGTGGCGGAACTCACCTGCGGCTGCTGCTGATAGTCCCTGACGGCTGGTGCCACATATCCCTGCTGCTGCTGCTGCTGCTGCTGGGCGCGTATCTGCTCGGCCACCGTGTCCTTGAGACGGATCTGCTGGCCCGAATTCACGTACTGTTGCGTCTGCTCGGAATTCTGCTCGTAGATGGGCGTCTCGGCGCCCTGCGACGACTGCTGCTGCTGCTGTTGCAGCTGCTGGTAGTACTGCCGCAGGTAGGCGGGATCCACGCCCCCCTGCTGCGCCTGCGCAATGCCGCCGCACAATGCGACCGTGGCCACCGCAAGGAAAAGCTGCAGTTGCATTTGCATTGTAATTTGATTTGATATTTTTGTTGGACACTTGAAACACTGTCTATCGCGCACTCAACCCACTTTGGAGATACTTTTGTATCTGCGCTGTC